TTAAAAAAATTTTTAAATCCCTAAAAAATAAAAATAAAGAATGAATAAAGCTTGAAAGAATTAAACAGCAGAGAGCTTTTTTATTTTATTTTATTTTTTTTAAGCGGTAGTAGGACTCAAGATAGAAATAATTCACATTAGAGCACTTGCTTAGCATGTGGCAAGGTCCCAGAGACTGATCCCAAGCCCTTAAAACAAAGAGACCAACAGAAGCAATAACAAAAATTGAAAATTCAATGCAGCTAATAGCAAATGAGAGACAATGAAACATAACCTGGAACTGAAGGGCACAACAAAGAAGCGTACAGAGACAAAAGAGTATACAGAAACGAAGTCAGGAAGCGAGGGGAGATAGTGCAGAGCAGGCACAGTGCAGAGATGATATGTAATGATGATGATGATGATATATACTGTAATTATTCAGGACTGAAAAAGCATACCAATGCACAGATTCCAAAATCCCAGAGTCAAAGCCAAGAAGAAAAGAATGTAAGAAGACACATTGAAATTTCAGAATACCAAAAGAGCAGCCACAGAGGGCTGGGGATATAGCTCAATGGTAGAACACATGCCTAGCATCCATCAGACCTGGGTTCAATCCCAAGTACAATAAAAAGTAAAAATGAATAAAAAGCAAGCATGGAGCCAAGCATGGTGGCAAACAGCTGTAATCCTAGAAGTTGGGAGGTGAAGGGAGGAGGATCAGAAATTTAAGTTCATCCTAAGACTACATTAGGGTATGGGTGTTGCAGCAATATGTAGTTGTGCTACTTGGCTAATGAGAGTGCCTGGGTGGTCTTTGTTCATGAGTGTCTTTATTATCATCAAGCTCATGAGGGGACTAAGTGATTAAGAGGATGAGAATTTATAGGAGTGTGATTAGGAAAGATAATTTGATAAAGCCCTTTGGGTAGGTTAATGTTTTGGAGATAGAAGTATGGGTGGTTGATAGAGCTTTAGGGATAGCTTTTTCAAGTCAAATTAGGGCTAAGAGGTCTAGAGTTGTGTTGAAACTTATTGTTAATGTTTTGATAGGTAAGACTCAGTACACAGTTAGGGGGAGTAGCCTAGGAATGTTGAGAAAAGTGATGGTGAGGTTGATTTATTTGAGGTGATGTGGAAAGTCAGGTAACTGAATTCTAGTGCGATGGCAAAGCCTATAATAGTAATGAGGAGAGCTGTATTTTTAGGTGCCAGGGTGTTGTGATAATCTGAATATTGGCTGGGGGGATATTGTAAGAAATGAAAAATCCTACAAAAATAATTCTGATTGCTGGATGTTTAATAGGATTTATGAGCTTACGGTCACTTTCATTAATAATGATAAGGGGAGAGAATCATGACTTGGTTATATAGTAGCAAAGCAGATAATTTGTATGCCCTGGGATTAAAGGCATGGGCCACCACCTGGTCCCCCCCCATCACCCAGTGACAGGGTTTCTCTGTTTAACAGACCTGGCTGTTCTGGAACTCACTTTGTAGACCAGGCTGGCCTTGAACTCACAGAGATCTGTCTGCCTCTGTCTGTGGAGTGGCCTGTACCACCACACCTGGCACTATACCAGGCAATAGTCTAATAGAGTTATACCCCCCACACTAAAACACTGTAACCAAGTTAACTTAATGGTACAACTAAGCTGTAGTTAGATGCGAATGATTGAAGTAACAAACTCTATCTCAAACCCTTAGGAAAAGCAAACGGCTACCACAGAAAAAAGGATTACCTCTAAGATAGAAGTACACTCACTATATTCAGGGACTTAAGGATGGACACTTAGGTTTACAGGGTCCTGAAAACAGTTTACTTCTTGTATGTGATGGTTATAGTTACCTTTATAATAATTTTCTACAAGCTTTTTATTGAAGAGCCAGAAAGAAGTATTTTAAGTTTTAGGGCACCATTTCTATCATACAGTCTTTCTATCATACAGTCTTCTATCATAGTCTTCCTATCATACAGTCTTTCTCTCATACAGTCTTTCTCTCATACAGTCTTTGTTGTTAAAAACACTTTTAAGCATTGCTTGCTTGCCAGGTGTCATGACTTTTGCCAACTTCTTCAGGAAAAGGTTCATGTTGTATGTATGTTTTTGGATTTAACATAAATATTCGAAAAAGTACAAAAAAAATTAATGGAGCTTGGAGAGTAACTGAGTAGTAGAACATTTGCTAAGCAAGTACAAGGTCCCAAGTTCAGTCCTTAGTACAAAAAAAAAAAAAAAAAAAGAATCATTTACCGAAAAAAAAAAAAGGAGGAGACGTGAAGTGACCCTTTATCAATTCTTCCTTTTCAACAATTTTGAGAAGCCACTGAGTCCCAAGCATTTCTGAATACTAGAGACTGAAACTCTATCGCTTACATGTCAAGGGAAGGAAATGGTTCACAGGAACTTGAGTTCTCTATACTGTAACAGTAACACATGGAAATAGCAATGAGGAAGAAATGCAGCAAGGTACCCGCTGTCACTTTAGCGGGGTGTGTGTGTGTGTGTGTGTGTGTGTGTGTGTGTGTGTGTGTGTGTGTGTGTAAGGAGTTAATGGTTAAAAATTAAAACACCCAGCCTGGTCTACAGAGTGAGTTCCAGGACAGCCAGGACTGTTACACAGAGAAACTCTATCTCAAAAAACAAAACAAAAAAATAGAACACGGAAATTATTAAATATATACTAATATTAACGTGATGAGCTACAAGCATGAAGACCTGAGTTGGATCTCCAGAATCCACTTCACAAATAGCCAGGCGTGGTGGTCCGCAAGGCAGGAGCACGCGTGAGACCAGCCTGATCTATATAATAAGGCAGCCTCACCAGCTCCCTAAAGAAAAAGAAACAAAAACCAAAAGACAAAACTCAAGGGGCAGGAAGAGCCAGGCCAGGGAGACCTGAAGCCAAGTCTGATGACCGGAGATTGATCTTCTGAACCCCTATGGTTCAGAGAGAACCAACTCCCACAAGTTGTCCTCCAACTTCTAAATACATCCTGTGTGCACACACACTTGCGCGCGCGCGCGCGCGCGCGCGCACACACACACACGGAAAAGCAGGTGTACCCTCACACACACAGAGAAAACATAATAAACTGTACTATATACTCCTCCTCCTAAATGACCTACAAGCGAGACAGTATGAATAAGTCTCACAAAGGGAATGCTAAACAAAGTAGTCAAGTAGGACATTTCCTGTTGTGTCACTCCTCTAGGAAGCAGCTGTGCCTGGGTACAGGGAAAAAGCTAAAGTGACAAGGACACAGTGGTGGCGTTGTCACAGGTCTGGCAATGTTTGGTTTCTCAGGCTGGTACACTGTGAGAAAACGATGGACTATTGAATGTGTATTCTTCTAAAACTAGAAATCGATTCACAAACGGCTATAACAAACTGTGTATGGGAAGGAGGGAGAGACAGGGACAGAGACAGTCCCACACAGACTTAACACATCATCAGGGTGGACAGATGGCTACGTGGGCAGAAGCACTTGCCATGCAAGCATAAGGACCTGGATCCAAATCCCAGTACCCACAAAAACGGTGACCAGGGGAAGGCGCTTCTGTCACCCCACTATTCCCCTAGAGATGAAAAGCAGGGACAGAGCATCCAGAAGCTTCAGGCCAGATGACCTGGTCCATACAGTGCTGGTGAGATCCGATCTCACACAAGGTAAAAGGCAAGGACAGACACCCCAGGTTGTGGTCTATGGCAAGTGTATGCCTCCATTCATGAGCACATGCATGCGTACACATATGCGTGCACGTGCACACACATACACACATTAAAGCAAGACTGGAGACAGTGACCAAGTGTGAGGAAATGCTATTTTAGAGAAGCTGGGCAGGGAAGGCTACTCTGCTAAGGTCATTTTTGAGCAATATCCTGTCAAAGAATAGTTCTGGGAAAGAGAATAGCAATACAAAGGCCCTGAGCAGAAGAATGCTTCAGTGCTCAAGAAAGCCTGCATGACTGTTGCTGTACGGGAGACAGGTAGACAGGAATAAAGAGCAGGCAGGAGCTATCAGGCATGTGAGGACTTCATTACAGAAAGCCACTCCGTTTTCCAGAGGACTGGTACAATGAGCCTTCACTGCTTACGTTGCTTGAACCACAAAAGCACATGAGACCAGGCTGAAGCCACACTGCGGACTGACCCCAGAGCACGGCAGACTCTAGGTCAGCACGATGCTATTAAGTTGCATCCCAACCTCTTTTTTTAAAAACGTTTACTTTTATCCCAACTCCTAAGATCCCACATAAAAACAGACTAGTCACATTATGGACAAGTGTCAACAAATTATCTAAAGGTGCTAGAACGAATTAACACAATACCCTACATTAGCTCGTTCGGGAAGTACCAACATCAACACTACTGACTTCTAGACAACATAATCCTTTGGCTCACCGGCTAGGCTCACTAACTTTATAGGAATGTTTACAGCACCCCTAGCCTCTGGCCTGCCTCTATGCTTCCCATGCCCTAGCAGTGACAACCAAAATGACTCCAGATACTGACAAATGTCCCCTGAGGGGTATAACTGCCCCTGGCTAAAAACTGCCGATCAATATATAATGTTTTTAAAACATTGAAATCTCATTTAAAGGATGAAAACAAACCAATCTCACATACATCATAGTATCAGGTTTTCTACCACATGAGTAAGCCTAGAAGATCTGAATATCAGAAGCTGATAAACTTTTTAAAGGAAGAAAAGAAATTCAAATTTAGCAAAGTTTTAGAACCCAACGTTTGACTTGGAATGACTGCCGTAACAGACTAGTGAACTGACAGGCTTCAAGGCGATTGAAGAGTCAGAGAATGATTAACTCTTACATAGAGTTGACTTACTAATAAAAGATGTGAACCTACTAAGTGCTTTACAGGCAACAGTATGAAGTTTACTCCCTCATGCCTCATGCCCCCTGGGTAACTAATGGAAGAGAGCCGGCTTCAGTGTTCCTGGCTGCTGGTCTCCTATGGAGCAGGTGTCCAATTTCTCCAGGTGAATGCTTACCGGTAAGGGATTGGATAAGGAATGTTGCGGTGAGGATCGAGCAACTGGTGGAACACTTCTGCCAGGGCTGGTTCCTGGCCCGCTTCCCCCAGCAAACTGGCCAACAGGGAAAAATGGATATGAATAATTCAAAACAGTACCATGCTTCAGAGAAGGAGAGTCAAAGATTAATATACAAACAGGTCTTAATTATACATGGCCCCTTTAAGTCAATACATCTCATTCTAGAGAGAAAATGCCATGTAAGCCAAATCTATCTTTTCAATGAGATTTTTTGAGAAAGAGCTCCCAAAGAAATGTAACAAGATATACAGAAAACATGGGCAGAAAGCTGAAAGTAAGCATGGTTTTGGACAGACATGAGAGAAGAATGCCTTTTTTTTTTCTTGGTCTCAAAATACATGAAGCAGAAATAGAGTAGTGCAGAGGGTGTTAGTCATCTTTAGTAACCACTTAACAATGAGGCGCTGAGCTCATGACATAGTCCACTAGGCTAAGGGAAAGGACCAGAGGAGAGCAAGCCATTATACCTTAGTCTCTGAGACACAAAACCTAGTCTGGCCAAGAGAAAGTACACTTCATATGTGAATTCTCCTATCACACAGACGAGACACATGGTACAAAATTTACACCCAGCAAATCAGCAGCAGTTCCTTCATATTACGAGATGGGCAGCATTAGTTTGATGAAGATGGAAAGAGACAGGGCAAGCCCACAGTAAAGGCAAATATTGCTCTCTAGTGCCTTAAATGAACAGGAGGATTATTAGGTTGTTTAAAGTCACTGGAGGTTGTTCATTTACCCCCACATTTAACTTACCTCAAAGTAATCACTAATTTTATGTCCCCTAGGAGTGCCTTTCCCTGAAAACGAAACCAAAGTAAGTACAGTTTTCCAGTGCACACGTAAGGCATCATCACTGCAATGCATTCAGTAGTAAGGCTCAGTAACTGACCCCAACACTGGCACAGTGTCAGCTCTATCTTAACAAACCATACACAACCTGTGCACTAAGGTTACTCTACCTCCTGCTCCATATATCAAGGGGCTGAATGAGCACTGATGGGAAGAATTGGTCAGCTTCTTTTAAAAGGCAATAATCTTTCTTTCATACATATTTATATATAACAATCAGCTAACATAATTCATCTATAATTCACATCCCAATTTAAAAGAACAAGATTCAAAACAAATGCATTAGAACTAAAGAGCTGATCCCATTTCACATAATTTTGTCACTTTGGGAGACTTTCCTTATACAAGGCAGGATGACTTCCCTATACATTTTTAAAAGGGAAGAAAAAAGATTGGGAATCCCGGTCCTTAGATGGGACAGGGAAAAGCTATGTCTTTCCTTGATTCTATATTTGGTGGTGGAACTATCACCGTTAGAGATTTCATCCCATTGGGCTCCAACAGAAGAGTAATACTGTAGATGAAACTATTCCTGGCTACCGCTACTAACAAACCCCCGTTAAACCCCAGGGCACCCTCTTTCTCATATAATTCCTATTTGGTCTGAAGAAAAACCTGTGTTGAGAAAACCATTCAAGTGCACAGGGAAAACAAAGTCCCCCAAGAACTGACCGTTTTGTCAGGTGTGTATCAAATGGCAAGTCTATACTGGGCCAACACTCCCTAAGATACACAAACCTCTGCTGTTGGGGATCCCTCATGCACACTAATTACTTGCTGGAGTTAGACAATTCCACAAGAAGCCTGTGCTGGGTGTGCAATGATCACTACCTTGGCTAGTTTCATATGGTTCAGCTTTTCTTTTCCGATTTCGCTGGTCATTCTGCTTCTTCTCAGGAGTCTGTTAAATACCATACATATCACAGTTAGAATGCTGGTCAGTTTTCACGTTAGCATAACAGAGCATATACAAAATATCAAAGACGCAAAACAGGCATGACTGGCACGACAAGGCTTGATGCAGTGTACTACAGAGAAACAGGCCAAATATGGGGCCTTTAGTGAAACCTAAACAACTTCTGGAAAATTATTTAAAAGATCAGCCCTTTGATGTACTCATTAGTAATTTAAAATTGCCACAAAATTTAAATAAGATATCTTGGCAGTACAGTAGCCCATGCCTGTGATCCCACAAGCAGGAAATAGTAGAAAATCTCAAATTCAAGGTCTGTGTGAGTACACAAAAGACCCGTCTCAAATGAACAACAAAAAGGGATTTTTTGAAGGAAACACGTCAATTCATACAGCAGGCTCTCAAACAACATCAAAGGTGCATAAACCTAACCTTTTAAAGGGAAAGGCCTGAAGGATTGTTCAACTGACTAATTTATAGAAAGCATCTCGGTGCAAAGCAGGCCTTAAGACTTGTGCCTATATCCTTGTGGGTAGGTTATCTACCTAATACTATCTTCCAGCTAAGCAGGAAAAATGGAAACCAAATGGCAGTCTTTCAAATGCTACTGTTAAATCCAGTCAGTGACCTACTCTATGGAATACTGAAAAGTACTAAAGTTCAAGAGTAACTAAGCTAATTTTGCTACAACTACAAATCTCTCACTTTTATTAAAAAACTAAGCCCTTCTAAACACCCCCACAAAACCAGACGTGAAATGGAGAAAGACAGGCCTATGTATGATAATAAACCATGGCAGGGCCACATCAAAGCTGCCCCAAGACAAGAATACACAGCTCCACTAACATGCCCTGGAATTACATGGTGCTACCCTTGAGCCCAGACTAACGGTCTAAACCTCGAACAGTGTTGTTTAGGTGTGGCTTCTTACCTCTACTTCTTTATCACTCAAGGACCCCACGCTGCACAAACTCTGGTTGGAAGACTCACTGTTGAGTGGCCCCTGCAAGGGAAATGTTTTTTTAGATAGTCAGAAGTTTTCATTTAAGATGACAGCAAAGTATGCAAGAGGCTGTTGTTCTCATGTCCGGGTCAGATTAGGAGTCAAGAGGCAGCTGCTACAACCCTCCCAAGCTGAAAGGGACTCAGCTACAGCACAGCTTGCTCCACGTTCGAAATCCCTAGCTATTGATATCTTCATGTGCTTTACACAGCTCAGGGCTTCCCTCTGGAGTATGCTCATGCTTCTAAGCCATTCTTTAAGAGCAATAAGCAAATACTGGGGGGGGGGGGTGCGCCTTTAATCCCAGCACTCGGGAGGCAGAGCCAGGTGGATCTCTGTGAGTTCGAGGCCAGCCTGGTCTACAGAGTGAGTTCCAGGACAGGCTCCAAAGCTACACAGAGAAACCCTGTCTCGAAAAACAAAAAACAAACAAACAAAAAAGAAACAAAACAAACAAACAAACAAAAACACAATCTAGGGGCAGCAAGAAGGCAGAGTGAGTAAGATCCTTGCTGCACAAGCCTGACAACCTAAGTTCAATCCCCAGAACCCACAACAGAAAGAGAAAATTACTCCTAAAGGCTTTCCTCAGATTTACACACACACACACACACACACACACACACACACACACACACACACACACACGTCTGTACTCATTCATGTTTTCACACACACACAAATGATTAAATTGATTCTAAAATGTGCATGGAGGGGTTAGGAGTGTGGCTAACACTTTGCAGTAGTAAAGGGTAAAACCCTAGGTTCAATTTCCAGAACTCGATGTAAATAAAATACACACATCTCACAAGGGACTGTGAGAGCCAGACTAGATAAAACAATCAGTGAAAGAACAAGTAAGAAGGATCACATTCCCTGACACCAAGACTTGCTACAAAGCAACAGTAGCAACATGGTAGTACTAGTGTTAGTTAGTACTAGGTTAGTACTAGTGTTAGCAGATCGGGGGTAGAACTGCTGACTCCAGTGAAACATCTGGAACTATGACCAACTGACTCTTGAGAAAGGTGCTAGAACCACTCCAGGAAGAAAAGTGTTTCCAGCAAATAATGCCAGAAAGTTGGCTAGGCAAGGGCAAAGCAGTTGAACTGGGCCCTTCATATCACACTTTGTAAAAGCTCGAATGTTAGGCAAGTGCTTTAAAACTGAACCACACTCCTAGCATAATTTACCTCTAATATAACTACTGCAAAATCAATTTCCCCCAGGACTGCAATAAAACCGTATCTACTTTATCACTAAATAGTCCTCATTTTCTAAAGGAAATGGTAAAGCCAGGGGCAGTGACACTCCTGTCATCTCAACTTTAAGAAGCAGCAATAGAAGGCCATGAGTGTGAGCTGAGCTTGGATTACAGTGACTTATAACTAACTCTGGCTACACAGCAAGGCCTTGTAGGCAGGTAGGAGAGATAGGTACAGAAAGGACAGGAGGGAAGGAAAAATTGCAGTTTGAACTAAGAACCCAAGCTGCAGGATCTCCATGACCCAGGGCAACAACAGGATATCTGAGGAGTCCTGGGAAGGATCCAGTACTGACAGTGTAGCAGAAGCCAGAGGCCTGGAACCACACCGATGACTCATTACAACACACACTCAAAAAAGTAAAGATATATGGACTAAAGGGTATACTGTGTGACTCACCTGTCACAGTACAACTTCCACGATGAGATTTTGTTTTGTTTTGGGGGGGGTTTGAGGGCAAAGGGAAGATATGGAGGGATTGGGGAGATGAGTGGGATTGGGGTGCATGATGTGAAAATTCAAAGAAGCAATACAAAGTTTAAAAAAAGAAAGAATGGCCCCTTAGGCTCACATATTTGAATGCTTAGTCACCAGGGAGTGGCACTAGGTGAAGGGTTAGGAGGTGTGGCCTTGCTGAAGGAAGTGTGTCATGGGGAGGGGGCTCATGCGAGCCCAGTCCTCACTCTGCTGATCAACATGCAGTGCTCAGCTACTGTTTCAGCAGCACGCTCGCTCGTCACCATTCTTCCTGCCATGACGACAAGGTTCCTGACACTGTAAGCCAGCCCCCAATGAAATGCTTCCTTGTAGCGTTGCCGTGGTCATGGTGTCTCTTTCAAGCAACAGGACACTGACTACGATGACAGCAAGAGTGGTGAACGCAGACGAGAGGACTCAACAATTTTTCCAGCAATTACAATGACAATAACTAGACAGACAGTGGTAGACACCGAACTGTTTGAAATAGCGACGCTGAAGAGGGACAAAAAGACTTAATGTCCCTTAGGCATGTGTACATAACCAAAAGTTAAAAAGATTAAGAATTAATTAATCCTTTTCTCATCCTCTTCTCAAGTACAGCATCTCATATTATAAAGTCACCGGATTAGATCTAATTAACAAGGATCACTGAGATATACTTCCTGTTCTAAAGCAGCTTACTGTCTATAGTAAAAACTAACCAAAGGCTTGCAGGCAAAACATACATGCTGAGTTTTAAAAGTGTCACTCTTACTAAACCAACAACAGTAACAAAAAAGAAAACTGAACTAGATTACAGGAGTCTAAAGGTATGCTAAGTCTCAATACATGGACTCTGTCTTGACCTTGGTACAACATTTGCTTAGGCTACACAGAGCCCAGGGTTTGGTCCCCTGTACCGTCTCACCTCCACAAAAGCAAATTTAAACAGCTATAAAGGACATCATTAGGGCTGGAGAGACGGCTCAGCAGTTACAAGTAAGTCCTTGCTGCTCTAATTCCCAGCACCAACACTAGGTGGCTCACAACCTCCTGTAACTTAAGGTGCAGAGAATCTGACACCCTCCCTCTTCTAGCCTCTGCAGACACTGCACAGAGTGCATAGACATACATGCAGGCAAAACACTCATGTACATAAAATAAAAGTTAAAGGAAAACCTAACATTATTAAGTACCAGTAAGATAGCTTGATGGACTAAGGCACTTGCTGTGCAAGCCTGGTGATCTAACTTGGATCCCCCAAACCCACATGTAAGGTAGAAGAAAACTGACTCCAGAGTTGTCCACTGACCTACACACACACACACACACACACACACACACACACACACACACACACACAAATGGAGGCAAAAACATAAACTGCATATGAATTGCATGTATATGAAGCGATTGCCGGTAAACTTTGCAATGAAAAGGAGACAGAAAATAAGCATGAACGTTTAACGTTACCTGAAGGCGACTAGTTGGGAAGCTCCCCATCCTGGAATATTACTTAGGTAAATATACACTTCTATTAGAAGTATATTCCTGCCCATGAAGAGATGGTTTCATGGTTAAGAACACTTGCTATGGGCTGGGTAGTGGTGGCACACACCTTTAATCCCAGCACTCTGGAGGCAGAGCAAAACTCACTCTCTGTGAGTTCGAGGCCAGCCTGATCTACAGAGCAAGATCCAGGACAGGCACCAAAACTACACAGAGAAAAACCTTGTCTCGAAAAAAACCAAACCAAACAAACAAAAAAGAATGCTTGTTCTTCTTGCAGAGGACCCAACTTTGATTCCTAGAACCCACTTGGTGTTTCACAGCTATCTATAAACCCAATCTGGGGAATCCAATAGACATATATGTGATGCACATACATGCATGTAAGGCAAAAACACTCATACACATAAAGTAAAATAAATCTTTCAGAGAGAAAATTCTATTTCTTCCTGTTCAGTGTAAGAATTGAGCTAAAAATTTGGAATGGTGTAGTAACTATATAACCCTAGTGTTACAGATGCTTCAAGACTGCACTGTCTGTCCTGTCAGGCTTGGTGGCACTTGCCTTTAATCCCAGCACCCAGTAAGAGGAGGCAAGCAGATCTTTGTGAACTTGAAACCAGCCTGGTCTACATAGCAAGCTCCCAGCCTGCAAGGCTACATAGTGAGACCCTGACTCAAAAGACAAACAAAAAGACTGCACTATCTCTTAGAAGTGGGGCTAATACCTGGTGGACATCAACTTTTACTATTTTTGGTATCTTTTAACTGAAAAACTTACTCTGTTATCCATACTTATTAATGTTTTCAAAAAGGAAAAGGGGAGGGTGGAAGACCATTTGTTTTTTCTTTGGAGAGACACTGTCACTTGTAGCCCAGGCTGGTTTAGAACTCTCTATATAGGTGAGGATGACTGTGAATTTCTGATCCACCTCTCAGGTACTGACACTGAACCCAGGGTTGCGTACATGCTAGCCAAGCATTCTACCAACCAAGTCACAATCCCAGCCCTTACTCTACAAAAGCAAACAAAAACAAAAACAAAAACAAAAAACATGGGGGGTAGTGGGGGGGGGGGGACGGGATCTGGAGAGATGTCTCAGCTGCTCTTCCAGAGATCCTGAATTCAAATCCCAGCAACTACATGGTGGCCCACAACTATACATAATGGGATCTGATGCATTCTTCTGGTGTGTAGGCAGACATGCAGAGAGCACTCATATACATAAAGTACATAAATAAGTATATAAATTAGAAATAGGTGTGTGTGTGAGAGAGAGAGCAAGAGCGAGCTTGAGCATACTAGGTCTAGTGGTATAAGCCTTTAATCCCAGCACTTGGAAGGCAGAAACAGGTAGATCTCTGTGAGTTTGAGACCAGCACAGTCTACATAGTGAGACCCTGTCTCAAAAACAAACAACGTTAACGTACTTAACACTACTGAGATATGCTGGGTGTGGTGATGAGTACTTCAAACTGCAGCACTTAGGCGGCTGAGGCATTGGGACTGCCATGCATTCAAGGCAAATGCGGCCTATTCGAGTTTTTGACCAGACAGCACTAAATAGCAAGACCCTGCTGCTTCAAAGAACCAATCAATCAATCAATGAATAAATGAATGAATCAAGAAGTAAAACCAAACACAGAATTTTATACATGTGTGTCTTCCTACAATGTCTTTAGACTGACACAGCTGGGCACTGGGATGGCTCAGCAGGTAAAGGCACCTGAAGTGCAAATCTGGTGAGCGGAGCTGACTCAGTGTAA